ATTAGAAAAAAAAATCAAAGTTTTGTGCGCATTTTACTTCTGTCGAGTCCAGTCGTGTTGTTGTTCAAAACAAGAGTCAATACAACGGATTTTTTTCTTTTTCTTTTTCAGGGGAGCACACAGGAAAAATTATTTAATTGTCAATCTTATTGATAATCTAAATATATATGAACAAAAGAAACATGCAATCATTTGTATATATAGTGTTCATCTTTCACATCCTCAGGGTGTGAGATGATAATGAAGATTGCTCTATTGTTGTTGCTGTTGTTGTTGTCGTTGTTATTCTTGACGAATTAGAATGGTAACTGATGAAAGATCTAGTATGCAATAAGGAAAAATCTCACAGAGATAATTATCCAGCACACACACACATATATATATATATATATAATATATGTATATATGTATCTATATATAAATATATATATATATATATAAGGATAGAGAGGGCTAGAGAGAAAGGACAAGTGGTAATGTCTGAACGAAAGGCAGACAGAGAACTCGTCAGCTATCTAACTAACACAAGAGTATGTGTCTGCTGAAGGCATTAATCTGTGGTGAATTTCCAAGTAATCGAATTGATTATAAATCAGTCGACGAGAAGGAGAACGATCTGCCGCTAGGCAGACAGAATGAAGAATCAGATTTCATCAGATGCGCGCGAACGCGGGTGTGAAGACGTTTATGTTTTAGGACGCATGAGAATGCGGAAGCTATTTCTATGTTATATTACGCTCTCGATCTTTGAGGCGGAGAAGAACAAGAAAACACAAGGCTCTAAGTAGTTGGCAAGAAAAAAAAAGCGAAAGAAAAAAGAACCTAGGATGAATTATTCTATCATCTTCAGACATGGATGATTAGCTATACAGACGAATACAAGATCTATATTCTCTCCATGAATGTACATCACTGGGTGTTAAATTGTGACGCGTTGTCGACGATAGAAGGAAATAGAAAGATAATCTTGTTAGCTACATCGACCGATCATCATCAACACCATCATTATTATTATTATCATAGGCCATCAGTGTAAAATGACAGTAGAGAAAAAGACTGATTGATTTCCGTATCCAGATGTCCAAAAGAAAAAAGAAAAGAAAAGAAACAACCCAATGGAAATCTGTCTACGATAGCTATATAGCTCTAGTATTACTTATTGATATTGTCTTATCGGCAGTTTTATGTATCATAGTGATAATGTCTTTTATTTACAATCTATATATTTAAAATCATTTTCTTTTTTTTTTGTCTATATTTATATAGAGTAAAATTATTTGAACAAACATTCGTACAAGTCAGTTTTGATCATCATTCGATTGTATCCATTGAACAGCAGTTCTTCACAGCATGAGCTTAAATAAATAGACTAATCAACGCACATAACATCATTTGTCTCGATTAATAAATAAATGAATAAATGAATGAATGAATGAATGAATGAATGAATAAATACACCAAAGCGTATATAACATATACATAATCAAGTCTTTTTCAATATGACTTGCTATTCTTTAAAAAAGACTAATTGTAAGACTTTTTAACATTCTTTTTCACCGATTGAACAGGTGTGAGATGTATGTACGTCTAATCACTGATCATCATCATCATCATCATCATCATCAACAGATTGAGAACGTAAAGCACAAGGCGTCAATTGGTAAACATTTTGTTTTCACACTTTTTCTTTTTCTTTTCCAACGATGTTTGATCCTTCGTTTTGTCGTTGTCGGACAACCCTCAAGGGATTTTTGTTGTCCGCATTGGAACTGTCGATCAAAAAGAAATAAACTAAAAATCGACAGAATAAAAATATTGACAAGCATTCATCTGTACATTTATGTATGTGTGCTTATGAGAGAGAGAGACAGCAATAAGGCCTAATGCAATTCGAGTATTGTCGATAGTTTTTAACTAAGACGAATGACAAATATTATCTTATACACGAATTCTATGTATATATTTTGTTTGACGGTTAAAAATCAGTATTGAACGATGACAAGTGGAAATAAGGAAAGAGAACGAGTGACTATATACAGAGTTCTATTTGCCTACGTAATGGACGAGATGGCCGCAAGCTACGTTGACTTGTTCACTATTGTGTTATTTTAATCTGTTTAACAGTCAAACGACAGAAATATAAAAGAACAATAATGATGAGAAGGATTATTTTATTGTGTAATCAACAACAAAAAAATGAAGAAGAAGAAGAAGAAGAAGACTTCTATAATCTGACAAATCTTAAGATTTCTATTTTTGTTTCGACAAGTTTTTTTTCTCGAAGTCATGAATGTTGCTCTTGGGCATTTTTGATATTTTAACAGAAAATTAATCATTTTAACCTATTCGATAAGTGTGAGTGCTCTCAATAAATCTTTCAAGCGTAAACGATGCGAACAGCATGTCGATCTTTTACAATTGTTTATGTGGTAGATGTAAGAACGGTTGACTGGTTCGACACTCAAATAACATTGGTTTTGTCTTGCATTTCTTAAATATGTTGCTTAGAACGTTGTCTTTAACATGGAAAAAAATTAGTAACAACTAGAATAGACAGATGTTCAAGCGTAAGTTGAGTATCTCATTAGAAAAACGTCGAACAAGTACGAGAGAGAGAGAGAGAGAGAGAGAGAGAGGAGGGGGGAGAGAACAAGGATATGTACTTCTCCACTTCTTTTTTTTATTGCAATCGGTATAATGAACTCTCTCAACATCTTTTGTACACATGCCACTGTGAATGAAACTCAATGTCATAACATTTTGTCGTTCAACTGTACTTTAATATTATATTGAAGAAAAATTAACTTCATTTTTTGCTTTTCCAATTTACAAACACTCGACTTCACTGTTTCGAACATATAACAGTATTTAAATGACTTTTGAATGGAAATCAATGATTGTACATGGTGAGCAAACACATCGGAGTCAACAGTGTAAAGAGCAACGAAACTTACAACAGCAGGGAATCTGTTTAATAAGAAGAGTATGAAACATTTGCACACGTTATGTGACACATCTATCGATGTGTTTTCTAGATCGATAATGATCTCTTTTCTTATGTGACTCTAGCACTTCATTAGAAAAGATGATGTTAGTGGATCTAGTTTTTTTTTGCTTTTGTCAATGACTAAATATAAAAAGGAAATGAGAATGCCACTATTTAATTTAACACACATATATGCACTAATGCGGAATCGTGCCACGCAATGAGCGACATGACATCCGTAAGACGCTCATGCACATTCGATGATATATGATGATTATGAGTTTTAGTATGGTAAAGGTGTGTGCATGTGTGTGTGTGTGTGTACTTTGCGCGAGAACGAGCAAATTCCGTTTGACAAACGTTTCCGATCTGCGAACTGTCGTATCTTCTACTTATTTGACAGCGAAATGAAGTGTATGAGATGAAGGTATTAAAAGAGGAAATTGATAGTTTCCGCCAAAAGAATGGATATCAAAGCTACATATACCGCATTTACAAATTTTCATTATTTTTCTCTTCTTTACTAAATCTTTTCTCTTTCTTTTTCAAATATGTAAATTAATCATAGAAGATAAATAGTTTTCATATATGAACAATTTGCAATGATCACAAATAAAAATATCTTGTTATTTAGCTATAACTATTCTAAACATTTGTTATTATCTAGCGTACGATAGGAAATACATTGAGCTCTCTGTTTCTACACATCACTCTTCATATTAATGATGAAGATCACCATTTGATGAAGAGATGCCTCTTATATATATATATTTCTACTGAATAAATGTTGTCAAATATAGTCTTTCTCTTCGTTTCTTGTCATCATTTCCATTTAACTGACTGATTGGACTGAGTATAAGACGATGAAACATTGACGCGCATGTCGTGTAAGACCAGTCTCTTGAGAGAGTAAGGCGAACACGGATTACCATGACAGTTCGATTGCTGATGAATGTTCTCGTGGGATAGAGAAAAAGAAAAGAGTTCGACTGAAGAACAACAGGCGATGAAGACGACAAGTGACATGCAACAATCTTTTTTCTATTGAGATGTATAAAAAATACACTATTGCCATTCGATACACATACACACATGTCGACACCAAATGGTTTATTCATGATTGCTTGCTTACTCTATTCTAAATGCAGATGAAAGAGATGGATAAAAAAAAAGTACAAGAAAAAGCGCAGATGATGATTATGATGATGGTTTTCATTTTGTTTTCTTGCACGCACGTGCATAGGCAGCTATAAATGGTTTTGTTTGATGAATAATAATAATAATAATAATAATAATAATAATAATGATAATAAATGAATATCATAAATTCTTTAAAGATTCATAGGAGAATATTCTATACTGATTCCGGTTCCGTCTATTTATCAACTATTATTGTAGTAGTAGTAGTACTTCAAAAAAGAATTTTGGCTTTTTCTTATACAACTATTCAAAAACAAGATTATTAACTGTTTTTTAACTCCAATACAAAACAATGTCTAGCAGATCGTTAACAAAACAAAAGAAAATTTGTACATAAACAAATCGTTACTGACGACTATGGCTAAAAAATAAATATGATATTCATTGTTCATTTCTTACTTTTCATTCAATTCTTATCAAGATATAGATTTTTCTGTGAAATATGATGTTGTTTCAAATATATTATTTGAATTAGCCCTGCTGTGATAGTTTAGTACGAGTAATAAACTAATATATTTCATTATTTTTAAATTCTCAAGTATTTTTATTTATTGATATTATTAAATAAAATCATTTCATTGATATGTTTTTTTTAAAGAATTTTGAAGAAGACAATTTGATCAAAATCGAAAAGCTTTTGTTCAATAATGTATGATAATACAGTTCTGCCGTTTACACATAAACAAGCGACACTATTAAAATATATCTTTATTTGCTAACGAATACAAGCCAATGGTATTTCGTGAAACGAAGTCTTCTTACCCAAAAAAAAAAAAAATTAAAATATCATTAAAATTCGACTTCCGTTCAATTAATGATGTATGAATCTCGACAAACTTGGCAAGCGACATCATTCTGTAGGTCATTTAAGAATTTCTACATTACTTTATTCTTATCATCGTAGATGATTGTACTGGTCGTGGACGACCAGCAGGTTTTTGCGTCGAAATTAAATCACCGCATATATCTCCACTAAAATTAACTCCATGTGAAGTATCACAAACGATCCATTCATGTGAATCTGTGCCCGAACTTGAACCACCATCTGTTCCTTTGTCAAGCGATGATTATGATGAAGATTTAGAAAATAATTATGAAAAACCAAATAATAATACTACGAATATATCCATTGAGAAGACAAAAGATATTAAAAAAGTTAAAAGAAAGCAAGAAAAGCATGATTTACCCATAGTTAGCACAGCAATTGAGTTACCATTTAAACGTGACGAAAAACAACAATCAACTATTGTTTTATTACCATGTTTGCAATTTCTTGAGTCTTATAATTCACCAAGTGAAATTGTTGTTGATTATTGGCGTCGATATCATACAATCCGTGTATCATTTTCTCAAAAAGAAATTGGATTTTTTTCAACTGCTGATCGTGCAGATCGAACACGATGTCGAGAAGATTATCGTTATTTAAAAAAATTAATTTATCCTCTTGAACAAAAGAAAGTTCATTTTGATCTAAATGTTGGTGCCGAATATCTTGAAGTCAAAGTGAGTATATATATATATTCAATTGATTATCAATTATTTTTCTATTCAATCAAGGTATTTCTCTTTTCTGTATATTAGGAACCACCCGCTTCTCTAGATTCAATGTTATGGTGGATTCTTCGACATAAAAATGAAGTATTTATTGATAAAAAGTAAAGTTTGTGGAAAAACTCTTTTTAAAATTCTTTATTGACTTAAAATCAAATTTAGATTTACTTTCGATTTTTTATCGTGGCGTGGAACATTACGTAAAATAATGTCATCATTATTCGATTCAGTTCTTGACTGGCGCATAGGAATAATTCGTTGGAAAGGTTGCCATTTTCTGTCAGTTTTTCATACTGAAACTGAATTAAAAATTGAAAATGAACAAACACCAATTGAAAAACGTATGCAATATTGGGGCCATAAATTTGAAGATTATATTACATCAGATAAACCTCCAATAATTCCATCGCCGAAAAAGATTTTCTCAACACTGAATAAAGCCACACTTGGTCGTCATATACTTCTGTATAGTTGTGAAATAGATGCATGTACAATGAATTCAAGATATAATGAAGAAGAAAAACAAGGCACCTACGTCGAAGTCAAAATTACCTATGCTAAACATTTACTTGATTTAAATACTGCTTCGTAAGTCTATTGAATATATGTTTGAGAAATTTTTAAGCTAAATTTTAAATTAAAACTTCTTCATATAAGTACAAACGAAAACCTATGTCTGAGAATAATTAAAATTAGTCAAAACCTCCAGTGTAGCTGATAAAATAGTAATAGTTTTACTATAGTTTACTTCAGTATTCAATCGTAGACTAGTTAAATAATTTGATGACTATTTCAAATTACAAACTTTCTACGACTTTCTATCCTTGATGGAAATTTTTATGATGTATATTGATAAACCATACAAATTCTTTTATTAGAAAGACCTATGAATATTGTGTTTGATCGACTCAAACATCTTGGATGCACAATGAAGCATTCGTTTAGTGGGTATTTCTTTTTGATTGCTTGCTTATAGGTTTGAATACGTAGCTATTACTATGCACAAAGAAGAAATTCTTGTGTGGGCTAGTTTTTTTGTTTGTTAATGTTGTAGTATTTGTAGGAGTACACGAAATTCTACCCTGAACTCTCGTTTTCAATGCATTGCCAAAATCGTAATTCACAGCGATTACTGTTGAATAGTAATCACTTTTGAAAGTAAAACTATGATCATTCCAATTAATCAATTTTTCAAAACAATTGTTTGATTTAAAATAGCAGAAAGAGTATTAGTAAAATGACATTCTTTCAATGTGTATTCATAAACACATGGATTTTTCCGTCGAGATAATATGAATCGTCGATAGGATATTCTACAGATTTTATTGATAGAATAGTATAGAAGCTGCTGTTTACTTGTTTGAACAGACAGACGTGTTTACACCTTGTCCGATCCGGAATATCTATCAACTATTTAAAAATACAACTGGTGCTTGTAATAACCAAACGATACAAATGCATGTAGAGTAAATGTATTAAAGAGTCTTTGTAATGCAGTTACATAAGACAGAGTTATGTTATTAAGAACAGTGGAGTTAATCTGAGTTTTCTTCAGACCTTGTGTATGATATTTATTGAATGATGTTTGTTTATCTGTGTAGAAGTTTAGATAATTGAAGAGATACCAACACAGTTGTTGATCGATGGTGAAATCGATAGATAACATTAATCTTCATCTATGATGAATGAATTACCATACGGTCTTTTTAAGGTTGATCAACTCTTTTCGACTCATGGATATAAGTCTGGTACTGATTGATCTGGCTTTGTTATATTGTTCTTGAATTCATCACAACACTACCAGGAACTATAGAAGGAAAATAAAAAGTTTTACAAATATATACCTTATAAAAATTTGTTTACTGACTGATGTATTTATTTTTGCACCGATTATTTTTCTTTTTTGAGAATTTCTTCTCTAATTTATTTTTAGGTCTCGAAAATATGCAAAATGGTAAATAGAAGAAGGCAAGGTCTTTGTTATTAAATAATACATTAAATATTTTAGGTGGCAACAATGTTATTTAGCTGGTATTAATCATATGTTACTTGGTTTCCGAAATGATTATGGTGTTGTTGAATGTTTACAACCACTTGGTGTAAAAGATATTGAAATGCGAGCTGTAACTATATTTATTTGAACGAATAATTGAGAAAGTTGATCTTTTTGTTTTTGTAGAAAACATGGAGTGCAAGTTCGTTTATGTCATTTCTTGATGAATTCTGTTCGTTTGTTCGACGAACAATTACTAAAGATTGGTCACACGAAGAGAAGTAAATTATATTGTTGGTTTTTAAAGGCTCTTTCTACTAAATATCAATTCATTTATTAGCGATGTACATCTATTCTATTATTCTCCAAAGGAGAAAAAAATCAAATGGCGCATCTCAAATGAAGAACATCATCAATTTCTGCCTGATTGGTTTATAAATGAGTTTTCTTGAAAAGTGAATGAACTGGATAAGAAAGCAGATTTTTTGTTTTCTTTTTCTAATTTTTTTTGTTTTTTTTTTGTTTACGTTAATATATTGTAAATAATTTGAAATTAATTAATAAAATTTTGAATAAACAAAATTAAAAAAATCACCGAACAACTTCGCGCGTTATATTTGATATTGACTATGATATTTGTTCATCTTGTGTTTTGGTTATTGATAATTCTTTTCATTTTTATTTTAATCAAATGTCATGAATATATAAATGCAATCATCGTATTTCTCGGCGGATTATTCATTGAAAAACTTCATTTGACAAATGTTTTATTTAATAATTTAACATATCATGTATTGATTAATTATTTCTACTGGCTTTTAGCAAGCAACTCTTTGATTAGCATTGTTGGCATACTTATAGCCGTTTCAACATTTTCGACACTTATGGCAATGTTTAAACAATGGATCAAGATGGGGGTGCTTATAACTGTATTGTATTGGCTTGGTAGTTAAAAAAGACAGAAAAGAAAAACATTCAAATGAGACCGAATCCTTTTTTTCTTTCTGAATAAAAAAATAATGTTATGTGTTTTTATATTGTTCGTGTTTTGTGTTTATGATTGATTTTTGAATGCTGAAAAAATGCTTCAAGACTACCATAGACAAACAAAAATAAAACCATTTGCACCAATACTAAAAGGTAAAGTATGATAACAGTTGTTTTATTGTTTTTACAAAATCTATTAATTAGATCGAAGTATAAAACGATGGAATAGTGAAATTTCTCTTCCAACAAATATATCACTTTTATCTATTTCAAAATCATCGATACATAGCCATGATGATGAGGACGATAAAATTGATACGAATCAAAATTTAAATGATATAGATTCATCAAGTTCTAGAGAAAGCTTTTCGATTGTTAACGAATCAGAAGAATTCAAAGCGAAACATTCTACTATTGATACATATATTTTAAATAAACATTTACATGCAATACCGAGTACGATCAGTAATTTAGCGGACAATCATATTGATGAATGTATTTATGAGTTATTTGATGAAAGTAAATTATCGTATCGATTTGACAATGAAGAATACAATCCACGTTCAATTCGTCCGCCTGCATTTAGTCAGCATATAAAGCAAATTATAGAATCGAGAAAAAAACCAAAACCAACACAGTGTCGATCAGCCCGTATTCCTGTTCGAACAACTAAAGCGGAACAGTTGAAATTAGCTCGACAGCAATCAGCTAGTTTAAGTATTTCTAATCTACCTAATGTACGTCCGTCTACAACTAAATCACAGCCAACATTATCTTCGAAATCTCGAATACAATCAACAGCAATAATTTCCGCCAATCGTCTTTTACAGTTACAAGCTAATGATAGTAGTGCTTCTTTTAGACAATCGGAATCAGCTCGATCGTGCAAAATAGCCATTGGATCGAATGATCCTTTGCTTCTGTCATCCATGCTTGTTAGACAAATGCGACAAGATATTCAGAGTAATAGAGGTAAGCTTCTTTTTTTTTTACCAAGAACTGAAATCATCGTTTTATTTTTCTTCATAAAATAAGCTAAATATGAATGTAACTAAAAAAGTATTCCTTTACAATCATATCGGTTAGTAACTGAGTAGTGTGAGAAAATATTTTAGACACAATTTATGCTTTTCAATAGCACTATCAAAGTATGTTTTCGAATTACGAGTCCAAATCTTATTTAGAAAAACTTTAAAGAAGATCTAATTTGATTCTGATCTAAAAACATCCCGTCTAACGGTATATATATGAATGAGTTCAAATGATTTTAGTCTGTCTACATGCAAAGTTTCAAGTCAAAATATTGCAAAAAGATTTTACTGTGTTACTAAAAGAAACGAAAACTTTCATTGTAAAAATTATCATCAAAGTTCGTATTGACATCAATCAAACATTTATAATTGTTGTCTATTTTTTTATTATAAGGACATAAGATTATTGAATCTTTTTAAATTTCTAGTTCCATCTTATTCGAAACCATTAAATAGTGCTCTACTTCATGAACAACCTCATCCACCTCTTAGTAATCAATATAAAATGCGACGTATCCATGATTGGTTAAAAAGTGTTACATCATCAGATTATATTGAATATAATGAATATGCTTCGAATGAATCAATACGTGGAACAAATTTCAATGATAAAATGGATCTAGAATCTGATATCTTCACTGATGAGAAAACGCTCAATAATATCGAAAGAACATCCGATGAAGCTCATCGAGTATTACCATTATTTAAAACGGCAATTAATCGACACATGCAACAACGTAATTTATTATTAACTCGTATTGAATTAGACCTATATGCTATTTAACTTAATACTTGCTATACCAACCACTGTTTTTAATTATGGAAAATATAATCAAGCGACCAACTACAACTAAAACGTTTTTTTTTCATACACGCGGAGGTTAGACGAAATTCAATGTAAAAAATAAGTCCCTTCAGAAAAGCAAAAATGTTTCCCGATCAAAAAAAACAAAGAACGAATATCTTCGCATTTTATTGTAGTTCAACACGTTTTCGTATACTTGTTGGACTTGTAGCTCGTGCCATATTACGGCTCACAGATTGCATTGTGTGAGCCATTTGTGATATATCATCCCAGCGTTGAGTTTGTATTAAATCTTCAAGAGACTTGAGACGATCGATTTCTTTAACACGATCTTCAAGTTCTTGAATTTCAATACGTAAACCATTCGATAAATCTTCTTCGTTTGCAAGCTAAATATTTAAGTAAAAACCGAAAATAATATTTAGATGAAAAAGCAAGATTACACTTTACTTTTTGTTGTAATGCATTAATATGAACTGTTAAGTGATCTTTTTCACGTTGAACAATATTTATTTCATCTTGTAAATGTATATGACGTAATTCATATTCAGTTAATTCACGTTTAGCAGTATTTGCATTTTGAACTTCAATATTCAATTGTCTTTGTAATTGATGAAGCTAGAATTTAGAAATTAGATTTTCAAAAAAAAGCATAGTATCATTCATACTTGTCCATCAAGGTCTTTATTTCTTGTTGCTTCAATATCTAATTTATTTTGTAAAGTTTCAATTGAATGAAGAAAACTTTGCTCTTTCTTTCTTAACACAGCCAATTCTTTGTCCTTCGATTGTAATGCATCTGTACGTTCCCGTACCGTATAACGAAGCTATAAAATATTACTATAAATTAAATAAGAAACATATCTAATGTTTTACTTGATCTAAATCTCTTTCGTATTCTTTAGTTAAATTTTCTAATCGTGACACTTCTTTCATTAAAGCACTTTTTTCATCAGCCAACTAAAAGCAAAAAAAGTAAAAAATCAATCATAAAGAATACAGATAAGAAAAAAACAGAAATTATTTTTACTTTATTACGAAGAAATTGTGCTTCATTATAAAGGGTATCATGCGATTTAAGTGCTTGCCGAAGAGAATTAAGTTCTTTCTAAACAATGAGAAAGAAGAAATATCGAAATTAATTATTTAAAAACAGAAGAAGAAAAAGCGAGCTATAAACCTCTAGTTCGGCAGCATGATCTTGTAAACGATCTCGTTCACGGCTAGTTAATTCGTAATCGTTGAGACTACGTTTTAAAGTAGTTGATTCTAATTTATAATGACGAGCTTCATCATTTAAATCCTTATTTTGATTGATTTGTTTTTCAAGCTTAAAAAAGATGAAACAAAATCAGAAGTAGAAATAAAAAATTAAGAAAAATTTCAACCTGTTGTTCAAGTGCACGAATTTTTGTTCGGCTACTTTTTAATTCATCAGATTCAACATGTGATCGATCACGAATCTGTCGTAATTCTTGATCGCGTAGTAATTTTTCTCGTTCAAATGTACTTTTAGCTTGTCGTAACAGATCCAATTCATCAAGTAAATTTTGTTTTTCCACATCAAATTTTCCTGAGTTGAAAAGAAACAACATTAATAGTTAATTAATAATTTAAAAAAATATAAGATTTATTCTTACGACGAAGTTCGTCTAATGCTACTGTTAGACCATGTTTTTCACTTTCTACTTGATCGAATTGTGATGATGTTTGAATAAGACTTCGTTGTAAATCTAAACGGTCTTGTTCTATTTTATTTAAATGATCACTTTTTAATGATCGATCTAGTAGTGTTGAATTCTTGTTCAATTGATCGCGCGTACACTGAGAGTTAAGGAAACAATAATAATATATCTCTTATTTTCTAGGATGGCAAAAAAAGAATAAAACAAAAATATAAGATTCAATTGAAAAGGATATAGATAGAGGCATTCTGCTTCCAAATAGTAGATTTGTTCTTGTAATTGTTTAATATACTCATTTTCAACGCTTAGAGTAGACGTTTTTGATAACGGCTGTTGTGCAATACGTGATCGACTAGTTTAAAAAACAAATAAATCGATTAAAACACGTCCTTTTGAATATGTATTATATCAATCACAATTATTGTAATCAAAGTGACAAATCGTTAAGTGATCGATTGTTATCGTCTTCTTTTCCTGCTCCTTTTTTCTTTCTATGTACTTGCCACATATCTGTGACACTTTGTATCGAGACAAAAAATGAACAGACTAACGGACAGTAATAAAACACAATAAAAGTATTATGAAGAAGACGAAATCATATTTTAAGTTACATTTCACTTTTCTTTAAATGAGAGCATTTTCATTATTTCAATAAACTATCTATATATGATTGAACTTAACCTTGTATGAGCACTCCTTTAATCAATGGACAAACAATCAATCCTTGACATATTTAATTACATGCCTTGCCTTTTTCAATTTCTTTTATGAATATTGTACGAGGACGGACAGTTTACAACAAGAGTCTTCGTCTTCTTCTCTATGTATGTTCACTAAAATGAAATCATTCATGTATTCTCATATCGAGGAGAGACACTATCAATGTACGTGTGAACGCATTCAACATTGAGTCACGCTCGACTAGTTTTTTTCTTATCTTTTCTTTCACACCGATCTCAACTGTGATCAATTGTGTTCATTTGGTTCTTTTCCTCTCTTCGAAGGTTCACTATTTAACACAATATGGGCTCAATGCAAACAACTCATAATCATCGAAAACGTTATCGAGCTCCGTCGGCAACAAAATCAGTAGATAATAATACAAAACATAAACGTGTTGATCGTTTTCGCACAACAATTCGTAGTATAACACTTCGAGCACTAGCTGCTCGAAATAATCACAATTCTGTGTCGTCATCGAACAATTCAACTATAAATAATAGTTCATTCACCTCACCACATACGATTACAAGCATTACTTCAAATACGGACACAGATCCTTATTTGAGTGATTTTGATTATCGAAAATTATCAACATTAACTGGTTTATCAGAATCGAAAATCAATGAGCTACATAGAGAATTTCTAATTCTCTCAAATAATGGTCAATTATCTTATGAACGTTACAAAGGACTACTTGAAGCTGTACCAGAACAACGTTCAGCAGCACAACTTGACAAATTAGCAAGACAAACATTTGCATTGTTTGATAAAGATGGAAATAATTATTTAGATTTTGCAGAATTTATCGCTGCTTATATAGCCATGGAAAAGAATGAACTTGATCTATACGATACATCGTTCGCCAAACAATCGCCATTGTCACCGATAAATTCGACAATTACTTCTCTTACACGGCCAGCAACAAAATATTATTCTTCAAATAGAACTATGGCTAATACATCACCAATAACACCACCTCATACAGCATATCTTTCAACTAATTATACATCCTATCATCCCGAATCATCACAACAATATCTCTATGTTTCTCCGCAATATACAGTCAGACAAAACACACGATTTTAACTATTTAGCTGTTTCTTTGTTTAAATCTTTACTTTACTTGAGAGTATTTTGTTTTCCACTGGTCGATCGAATCGAAGCATTTTTTGTTCGTTGCCATGCTTGAGAATTTGTCAATGGTGCCGTGCATACCGCACATTTTTCCAACATTAATGTAGACATCTTAGAAGCCAAAGAGAAGTATTTTCAAAGAGATAAAGTATTTTTTCTTTGTTTATTCAAAGATAAGAAATAAAAAATAACCTCAACTTGATATATGCATTCATTACCAAAATGTTTTGCTTTTAATTCTCCTTGGCAATCCTCATTGAAGTACAAAAAAAGGAACAGAACATGAAAAGAATGTCGCTGTAAGTCTCTACTTATTTATATTTGGCCATATTTTTAACCGATAAGAAATAAAACGAAGTAAATGAGACGAGAATTAAAGTTGTTTTTATTTTAAACGCATTTGACAAGTCACTTAATTTCTATTTTCATTTGAGATCAAAAGCAAAACATGACACAATCTTCAGAGTCAATGGGTAAATAATTTCTAATTAGATATCAAAATCTATGCTCAATCGATATCTTCTTTTTTGCTTCATTATTATTTAGATTATTTGTTTAAATTTCTCATTATCGGAAATGCATCTACTGGAAAATCTTGTATATTGCATCAATTTTTGGAAAATAAATGTAAAATATACATTTTCTATTCGGATAATATTTAATTGATTAATTATAGTTAAAAATGATAGTGCACATACAATTGGTGCTGAATTTGGTTCAAAAATACTAAATGTAGGAGACAAAACAGTAAAACTTCAAATTTGGGACGTATGTCACTTGCTATCATTGGACTTCTTCTATTTTCAATTTTGTTGTTGACACTTGTTTTTTCATCTATTCAGACTGCTGGACAAGAAAGATTTCGATCAGTAACACGTAGTTATTATCGTGGTGCATCCGGTGCTTTACTTGTTTATGATGTTACATGGTAAAAAAAAACTAAGAAATTCTATTTTAGCTTTAATTCATGTTTTTTAAAATACTTCTGAAATTTCAGTCGAGAAAGCTATAATGCAATAACAAATTGGCTATCGGATGTGCGCACATTGGCTAGTCCAAATATTGTAATTATTCTATGTGGAAATAAAAAGGATTTAGAAGATGAGCGTCAAGTAACATATCTTGAAGCAAGTCGTTTTGCACAAGAACATGGTAAGAAAATATATTTTTCAAAACATGTTAATTTTTTTAAATGTTTTATTCTAGAATTAATGTTTCTTGAAACGTCTGCATTGAAAAATGAAAATATAACCGAGGGTTTTATTCAATGTGCTCGTATTATTCTTCGAAGAATTGAATCAGGTTATTTCGTATCTTTGTGCTTCTATAAATATATCTAAATTTTGATTCTCTTATATAATTTGTAGGTAGTATTGATCCATTTCGAATGTATTCAGGTATTCAATGTAATCGTTCGATTGCTGCTCATAAAAATGAAACTGTGTCTAATAATACATTGCAGAACTCAACAAAAAATTGTGCATTATGTCAAACATAATTTTATCTATATCTATCAGTTTTACAATCTATTTATTTTTATTTTCTTCGTTCCTATATCTTCTAAATCGATTCGATACCACCGAAAACATTCCTTAATATTTTAAAATCCTGATAATTTTGTATTGTTTTTTGTTGGCATTCTAATTCACACTATAGCTGCTGCTGCTGTTGCTGCTGCTACTACTACCATTACTAGTGCTTGTCTTTTAATTCATGTAAGCGTTTGAAATGGGGCTTCATAAAAATAAATGATATATATTTTATGATTAATGATTCTTGCTGTATTTGTTAATCGTTTCAATAGTATCGACTCGATACTGTCGAGGATGCATGCAGTCAGGGGCCGCCGAAGCGGGGTGTGTAAGGGGGGGGGGCGGGGGGGGGGGGGGGGGGGGGGGGGGGGGGGGGGGGGGGGGGGGGGGGGGGGGGGGGGGGGGGGGGGGGGGGGGGGGGGGGGGGGGGGGGGGGG